CAATACCACTGAGGCCCAAAAGTGAATACGAGCAAGGTCGGGTGGGGAATGAAGATTTTAACATTGGACAATTCCTAGTTGGTTTGGTTTATTGTGACAAACCCTTTCTCGGAGTGAGAATCAAATTTTACCATTAGACAATTTAATTTTAAAGGTATACTTATTGGACAATTATTAGTTGTTTTGGTTTAAAACTCTTTAGGGGTGTGTATCAAACCAAGACTATCTTTTACCATTTGGACTGTTGTGGTTTTCATAAAACCTTCATGAATGACCAGATGACGAAGTCTCCTTTGCCTAGGTTGTGGAACCATGTATGTGCTAGCCTAACTAATGTGGCGTTGTAAACTGTCATGTGGTCCATCGAGTCTTTGGTCCCGTCATACTTTTCGATCTGGAGAGTGTTGAATCCTTGGGGAGGGTAATAGCTAGTATTTCCATTGTAAAAGACTCGGACTCAAGAACCTCCTAACGAGATTTTTTAACATCTCTAGGTTGTCCTAACTAGATGAAGGGTCAATGTCGACCTCTCTTCCTAGAAATGATTCTATCTAAACTGGTTTGGGAGAAGCTTTCTCCTAGAGAAAGAATCAATTAATAAACAAAGTCTTGGTTTAAAATACTCTAATTTTTTGAGCAAAAGATGGATACTCCTTACCACGAAACAGAATGAACAGTAAGCAGGCATAGAAAGTACAAAACAACAGAGGAAAAGGTTTAATGTGGGGTTTGGATGGTAACGAAAATGAAAATCTTGATTCTTGAAACACAGCGATTTAACTACAGAGATAGCGATTTTACTAAATTTTATATAAACCCCTCGAAAAAAAAAAACAATGATACCGCTCGATGAAAATCAAGTTTAAATTGTTGTATGTAAACAGAGAAAGCAATAAAAAGATACATTTCTTTTCTCTTTCATTGGATGAATATAATATAGATCAGAAGAGAAAAATAGCAACAAAAAGAGAATTAATAATAATAATAGCAACGAAAAATACTTTAATCATACCTCCTAGCACTCATTCGAATGGAATATATTTTAGAGTAACATAAAATTCTTTTAATCCATAGAGAAAATGTGTTTAAAATACTAGGTGAGACAATTTCAAATGCTAATTTGAAAAGATGAAGTTGGAAGCTAGAGCAATTCAAGGAACCAACCTTTTGATGCTTTCAAATTAACAAAATAAAGGCACACTATTTCAAATACTAATTTTTCCCTTTTCCTTTTATGTTCAAAATTATTGTAACAAGCTTTTTTTTTAACATCAATATTGTTATTCTATCATTTAACTGCTTTTTCCTCGCCAAAGTGAGCATAGTTCAGCGGTATTTTTTAATATCAATATTGTTATTCTATCATTTTAAGTTCAAATCGTGCAACGTGCAAAATTTCATTTCTTCTTTTTTAAATATAAGGAGCACCTGAATTCGTAAAACAACGAGCACAAATTATTAATTTATTTTTTATTTTCTATTTTTTAACGCATTCTTTTTTTTTTTTTTTGCCTTTTTCAGCGATTTTCTTTTAAAATTCACTGTTGTTACACTCTATTATTGTTACACTCTATTAGTCACTTTTCGTATATTTTTTTAATACAATTTTCTTTCAAAATGTTAAGTTTCTTTTAAAAGGTAAAATGATGTTCTCTTTAACTTTATTTTTTTTCTTATAAAATATTCATTTTGGTCCATAACTTTTAAAATTTGAACAATAATTTCATCAAGTGTTATTGGTGGTCAAATAATTAGATATTTATGTTTTACTATGTGCTATTATAAAACTATAAAAAACGCCCAATAAACAAACTCATGTCTTCTTGATCAGAGACGGAGACGGGTGTCAATTGCCAATTACCGCCGAGCTAAACTCATCTCGACCACTATACTAATTGATGCTTCATTTGTAAACTTATCAGGTATAGGCAAGCCATAAAATAATTATCAATGGCCTATGAATGACTCTTGTGAGATAAAACAAGGCGAAAAACGAATTTTTTAAAAAATATATAAATTTCTGAAAATAAAAAAATCTATTTTTTTTCTTCAAAATAGAACCTGGGCATGTCTGGTAATGTTTTTTTTTTAATTTTTAGTTCTACGTTTTTCGAAAACAAAACCCATATATGTTTTATAATTATTTCTGTTTTTTTAAATATAAAACAACGACAAAATGGTTATCAAATTGACGTTAATAGTTGGTTTTTGTTAATTAATAGAATTTTATCTCATGCAAAATTAGATTTTTATTAATTGACTTTTTGAAGTGTTTTAAGTTATTCTTTCTTTGAGATAATGGTTAAATTGGTAGAAATTTAATACATAGTAAAAATTATAATAGTTACCTAGCCTTCAATTATATGAAATTTAAAATTTAGAATAAAAAAATTGATACAGATTTTCCCCCTGAAGCCTATCTTGTATTGGTCGCTAGCAATCATAAATAAATAATTATTTTCTGTTGGTTACAAGCATTATGATATAAAATAAAACAAGAAAATGTAAATTCTATTTACATATCTCCTTCCATCTTTTGTCTCCTTATCTGTATTTAAAATTCTTTCTTAAATTTTTTTGTCCATTATAATTACTCAATGCATAAACTTCTAAGTAGGATTAATAAAAGGGCACATAAGTATCGTATCAAAATTCAAAACAGATATATTGACTTCATGAACCCAATAAATGAAATAATAAATGATATAAATTCCAGTAGATTCCAAAAAGATATAACATATCAAACCTAATTTAATAATATATCTTTTAGATATCGTGGACCTTATAATTTTTTTTATGAAAATAAAGTTTATCAAATTTAATTTAATAATATATTTTCGTATAAGTTATAGATCCAACAAAATGAAACTTTTGAAGAAAAAAATTGATTTTTACTCCTATATATAGAGTGGAAAAGTGGAAAATGGAGTGAAAAACTATGCTTCAAAATCAAACCCAAAAAAACGATCCTTTTTAAAGGTCCTACTGGATTGACCCACTCAAGCCATGAAAGTTACCTTTTGGATTAGAAAAATGGCCTTTGAGACCCAAACTTGGGTTGATGAAGAGCGTCTAACAAAAGGGCAATGATAGGATGAACAATAAAATAACGGTAGAAGGATGGAAAGACTAGAGACTAGAGACCGGAAGAAAACATCCATTTTTTAAAAAAAAAGACAGAGATGAATGTGGATGGATTAAGCCAATGTTTTCTAAAATTCCAATATTCAACATTTATTTATTACAGATTTTGCACTTGTATGTTAGGGTTGATTTTAGCGTGGCAAAAATTACTTTTACCATTGGCAAAATCATTCCATTTTCATTAATCATATTTGGTAAATTAAAATCACTTTAAATTAATTTTTATGGTATGGAGTAATTTTGGAAAGTCAATATACACAAATTTCTTATTTTTTTTTTAAAAAAATTATTCTACCATCACTCCCAAACACCTTAAATTATAGCACGCTACTTAAAACTTCGGTGAACAAATGTCATGAAACCATTTTGAAAACAAAACTACACACATTTCAGGTCATCATTTTAATTTTAATAAAACTCCCTTTTCTATTAATACGAGAAAGTTTGGAAAAGAAAAATAGAAAGAGAAATAAATTAAGCCTCGAAAAAATGAAGTTGGAAGCTAGAGGCTAGAGCATTTCAAGGAACCAACCTTTGGATGCTTTGCAATTAACAAAATAAAGGCACTATCTCAATTCTCAAACACTATTTTTCCCCTTCTTTTTATGTTCAAATTTATTTTAAGAATTTTTTTTAACATCAATATTGTTATTCTATCGTTTACTATAATAAATTGACTGCTTTTACTTACATATTTTCTTAACATTGTTTCCATTACCTCCTGTCTCACTCTGTAACTAATCAAAGGTAAATAGCTTATATGATCAATTAACAACATAATTGTTCTAAAAAAATAAAAAAAAACAAAATAATTATTCTAATAACACAGTAAAATGTTGAAACCCATGACGCCATAAAAAAGATTATTAATTAAACCCTTTGTTTCTAATTGTCAAAACAAAGTCAGTAGTTTCTTACTATTATATAGGTGGATCTCCATGTGAAAGACCAATTACTAGTTAATTTATAGGTAGAGTTAAGGAGGGTGAACGGTAAAGGTTAACAATAATATTAATGAAATAAAAGAAGGAGCTCCGGTGTATAGAGACGATCTTACTGTTAAAGAAGTAACCACAGAAATGAAGGAACCCACTATTTCTTTATCCATTTCTATTTTTATTTATTTACTCTATGTTTGTTTGTTTTTTGTTTTTATACTTAGTATTAATACAATTTCAATACAATTTCGTATTTTAAGGTGACTAGAAAAAAAAAATTCTTTCAAAATCCAAGTCAAATTCTAAAAATAAAAATGCTTTTAAATACTTATTTTGATTTTTAAAACGTAGCCACTTCAGAATTAAAAAATATTTGTGAGAATAATAAAAAGCATTCCAAAGGAATTTAGAGGGAGTAGACAATTTAAAAAAAAAACCCATTTTATTGACCATTTCGTTTTTTTTGTTGTTTGTTTTGTCCATTCTTTTGTTTGTTATCACTTTTGTAAAAAAATACATTTAAAATTTTCAGCAAAAATTCAAAAACAAAATCAAGATTATTAAAACTTTTTTTTTAGTCTTAAAATCTAACTTAGATTTCAAAAATAGTAAAAAAAAAAAGGTAAACAACAAAACAAACATATACATAAATTAAAGTAATGTTTATATATTTAATTATCAAAAGAAAAAAAAACTAGTTATCAAACAAGGTCTTATAATCTTGATAACTATTTTATTTTGATTTTATGTTTTTAAAAATTAAGGCTAAAAACAATACCTTCACAAGTGAAATTAGCACCGAATATCTAATCTAAGGCCATAACAAGTTCTTATGTCCTTACACAAAGAATGTTTTCAAAATTAATGACGGTTTCGCACGAAGAAATTGAAGCTATATAATGAAGGAAACACACAAGATTTCAAAATTAAGTTGCCACGACAGACGAACCTTGATAAAAGAGAATCGAACCGATCATTTACGATGAAATCAAGAAGAATCATTCACCGATCGACATAAATTGTACAAGGTTTCAAAATTAAGCGTACGTACCTCAATCAAACCACGGCTCTGTTTTCACAAATGCAAAACAACATTTGCAGCATTTGAAGCTACATGAATCCGTCCACTACTGACCTGTATTTGAGAAATCGGAGCCATCAAATATCTGAAACAGAAGAAAAAGAGGAGAGGAATTCATCGATTTTTCGTCGTTCAAATTTAGACAGAGAATTAGAACAAACCGATCGATTCTCTGTTTCTGAACACAGTCCTATACATTGATCAGTGACAGATTAAGCTACGCCGATATGAAAATCGAGAGGAGGGAAGAAGAAAGAGGGAGAAATTTGCCAGAATCTGCACTTTCGAATTGAGAGCGTTTTCACAGAGCGCTCTTTCTTTCTCTGGAGAGTTCTTTGCGGTTTCCCTTCAAGAGAAATTGGGAAAATTCAACTCAACTGGAAAACTAAAAGTACATCCAATGAAAGGACGCCACGTCGTCTTGTGGGCCCTGTTGGAGTTTCTACATTTTGAT